ATTGGAGTGGGAGGATCACAGTTCTTGGGGGAAAGATTTATTAGGCCTTTTAGCAGATGGTAAGCTCATTATAAATCAGCAATATGAAATGGCACCCAAAAAGTTAACTCAATCTCAAGTTGTTTATGTCTGAATGTTATGTTCAGTTCTGGCCAATATACTTTAGATTGGATATTGACAAATTTAGATGTTATTAGAGGGGAGGTACCAAAATGATGAAGAGACTTGAAACTAGGGGTATGCTGGAGTCAACTCACATAGGTTTAGATTGTTAAATTTTTGGTGTTAGTCATTCTGTCAATAAGCATTTATTAAGTATTTCCTTTGTGCCAGGCACTGTGTAAAGTGCTGGGAATATAAATAAATGCACAAAGAAAAGATATCTCCTGCCATCAGGAAGCTTACATAATAATGAGAAAAGACAAAACATAAAAAAACAAGCTAAAAGGGTGGATGGGGGAGGGGAAAGTATGTACAAGAGCATGGTAAAGAAAGTCCTTTTGAAGACGAGCCAGCAATTCATTATGGTGAGAGATAAAGATAGCTTTGGCTTGGGCCTCTTCCTTAAATTAAAGGATTAGGGAAGAATCAACCAATCAAAAGGTGAGGCTTCAGGGGAAGAGAATACTTCCAATATGTGAAATAGTCCAAGTGTGGAATGAGCTTCCAGGGTGAAGAAGTTTCTATGTCATGGCTGAGAAAGTCCTATGGAGATGAGTTGGCAATTAAGTGTAGGGAGAGTTGAATGTACCTTTCACTTGGGCTTCCTTAAGTTGGAGGTTCTGAGAGGAATTAGTCAATAAGAAAATGAGGACCCAGGAGTGAAGAATATTTTCCATGGGGTGATGGGGAATGGCTCACATAATTACCTTCAGTTATTTAAAGATTATGAAATAAATGTGTTCTGCTTTACAAAAATCAACTCTGGACTACGGATTGAATTGTACGGGCTGATTTTGCCCCAGTATGTCAGAACTTCCTAAAAAGCTATCTCTCTGAACAGTCAAATCAAGTCAATAAAAATTTATTAACTGTCTACTCTGTGTCAAGCCCTGTGCTAAGCATTGGGAATACAAAGAAAGGCAAAAACAACCCCTACCCTATAAAGAGTTTACAATCTGTTGGACAAAGGGCATTTGATGAGAGGCAACTTTGTGTGAGAAGAGCGGTGAAGTTGTAGTTCAGAGGACTTGAGTTCAAAGCCCAGCTTGACTTCCTATTTCCTTGTGACATTGGACAAAATAAATTACCTTTTCTATGCCTCAGTTTCCTCACTGGTAAAAGGGTGCTGTTTGATAAATTTATATCCTCTAACTCCAAGTCCAGTAGTGTTGCTATTACATGCAACCTCCCAGAGTAGGAGCAAAATGGAAGGTCATGAGTAGAAAGTTCAGTGATTAAGGGCCTTACATATTTGACTCTAGATGGTAATGTGCCTTCCTTCATTTGATTCTGTATCCCAGGTCACTTTCTACATTCCCAATCTACCTGCTTTCCACAAGATCCTATCAAGCACATTTTTTTGAGGGTTGGGAAACTGTCTGGTCCATTATGTGTCTCAGACTTGTATCTTCAACTCTTTAAAGACAGACCACATACTTACCACACACTGCTCATAGTGCTTAATTCCAGTGGTGAATGTTTATTGTTAGATTAATAGCATGTAGAATGCCTCACAGAGATAGCTGGCATATTTTAAAGAGGAAACAACTGCCCTCATTCTAGAATCACAAGTACAGCTTCTCCTTCCACCATTCTCAGAAGAGTTAGTACAGCCAGATCTAGTTAACAATGGATGAAAAGAATGAGATCACATGAGCCTGAATTACTGAATTTCTTTGGAGAAAGAAAGACATTTTTTGAAGCTGTGCTCATTCTTTCACCCCCTTAGTTTGCTATAGGGCACCTTTGGAGAATTCAGTCTTAGTTGTAAGATACCTATTTGCATCGTATCCTTGAGCAGAGAAATGAATTCTAAACTTAAGGCATAGTTTTGCCCAAAAATATGGTTTGAAGAAGTAATCCTTAGTGACAAAAATAAGCCAACAAAAACTGAGGGGCCTATAGCCCTAGAGATCATGCTTTGCCAGACACTTTTTGTAAAATTACCGAATGTTGTACATGCTTGGGGGAGCTCTTTCACTGCCTTTTCACTAGATCTGAAATTCCCTATGAAACATAGCAATGATTGCAATCTAAAGAATATGACTGATTGAACCTATACTTGAAAGACAGTGACAATATTGAGTCTTTAGAAAGAATTTTAAAAAGTAGTATAGATCAACCTGTGGGTAAACTAATCTCAAAAGTATCTTATTTGAGAAGAGCTTTGGGGAAAATTCTTAAATATGTAAAACTTGAAGGTCAGGTTTCCAGGCTTATCCACTAGTTGGGGTTCAAAAAGTTTTTACAAATATTGTAAGAGTCAGTGGTTATGTGAATGAAATGACAAATCAGTGAGGTAAACAAACACTTTTCTAACTAAATGTACTGTCAATTCCCTGGCCCCATTTATTTGGGGACCCAGCTATAAATTTAATTCTAGGATTTCACATTAGCAAAAAGGATGATATCAGGGTAGTTGAAGTGCCTAGAATATGACGATTTAGTTCAGACTCTACAAGATCAGTTCACGAAAGGTCAGTCATACCTGACTGTCAGAAAAGAAACAGGAGAGTTGATGGGAATAAGATTTAATCTAATTAATTTGACTCTTACTCACCTTAAATAGAGTTCTGAGCAAATACTAGACATGTTAGTCTATAAGATGAATATGCTGTTATTTATATAAATAAAAAAACAATTTCCAAAACAGACAAAGTATATTCCTAAAATTGGCTTTGCATGCAAATGGGATAAGAGAAGAAGAGTAAGGGCATAGCAGCAGTTTAATATGGTGGATAGAACAACACTAGAACAAGGAATCAGGAGACCTGGGTCCTCCTCAAGGCTCTACTGGCTACGTGATTTAACAGACTCATTTGTATGTGATAGTTTTACCAAATGATTTCTGAGGATCCTTCTAGCTCTAAAGTTCTATAACATTCTGGTCATCAAAGCGTTCAGCTATCAGAATGATTTAATGTATTGTGTCATTAATTTGAAAGGAGATAGGTGAAGGTAAAATTTGCTGATGAGAAAAGGTGAAGAGTAAAGGTTATTTAGAGGAGAGATCTAATTCCCTACAATGTAATCCAATGTACAGTAGAGATAGAAGGGCAGAGAGGCACAAAAAGGACCTATTTCAAGAAAGAAAGAAAATTGATAGATGAAGATCACTTCTCTTTTTATGTCTCCAAATTTCCTCTTTTGTACTCAATCCACTTTGATGATCTGTCTATTCCAAGTTCCTTCCATCCTCACCCCCACCCCTTATTTTTTCTTCCTCCTTTTCATTGCTGGTAACCATAGTGATACTTACCACAAATAGCTCTCTCAGCAATCTCCCCCTCCTTTTTTTTTCTTTTTCTTTCTCTCTTTTTTTTTTTACAACCCAACTCCTTTGATATACATTGGATTGATATTGTTAGATAATGCAATATTATATGTATGGTTTAGAGACTTATTTTATTTACCAAATTTCTTGTCCATTTCCTTTCAAAGGAAACATGGGGAATTTCCCTCTCATTTAACCTCCCTGAAGGGCAATTTAAAATGGGAATGTGCAACTGTTAATTTCGGTTGCTGGCATGGTGGGGTAACTGATTATGCCAGAGTTTCTTCTCCCTATTTGGAGCTTTGGGAATGGAAGAGCCCCTGAGTAACCAAAGGCAATCATCTCCTCTTTGCTTTAATGTGCAAACTGAATAAATGTGGAAAATGTAAAAGCGATTACCACTAAATCATGATTCAACTTTGGTCCCCAGTCCTCTGCTATCTGCTTTTTTCTCTCTCAAAAGGGAAATATTTACCTTGTAAATAATAGACAGTCACAAAGAGCTAGAATTCTGAATAAGAAATAGGCAGGTATCTCTCTTTATAAAATAAATTTTAGTCAATCCATTAGCTTTGGGTATAGGTAAGAAAATTTCCATAATTATTTTGGGTGTGTTCTGTAAAACCCAGTTACCAAATACCAAACAGAAAAAAAAAAATCCCTGTTATCCTCAATGCAGATAAAGTCTACAGTCCCCAGAAACTTCCTTTTAATCAGACCCAGTATTTGAAACCTAAGTATTAAGGTTCTTGTGCTGTCTTTTTGTGCTATAAGCCTCTGTGTGTGTGTGTGTGTGTGTGTGTGTGTGTGTGTGTGTGTGTGTGTGTGTGTGTGTATAACTGGAATGGGCACAAAGGCGACCAGATGATGACATTCATAGGATTATAAGACTGACTCCTGGGGACACACTTGGATGGATGCAATTAAAATGCCTGTCAGGCATTTGATACCAGAAGCCCCTTGACAAACTGCTAAATCTGCCAGCAGCGCAGCATCCTATTGTGAGTGAATGATGGCGGAGCTGGGTGGCTTGTCATCATTCTCGAAAATTCTGTGGCTACTGAGCTCTCTCTCCCTCTCCCACTCGCCTTATTTTCCTTTTCGCCACTGCAGGGACTTTTTCTAATTTGCAGTTTTCATTTTCCCGACACACATAGACACAAGCTGGTGGCTTGCAGACTGCGTCTGTCTAGAGGTAGACGGCAAACCAATGGATAATAACACTAGAGAAGAATGATTTTGCAGCAGTACTTGAAGAATAGGATTTGGGGGTCTTGCTGCATATGTGCCGGTAATGATTTTCTTTCAAAGGATCCATTTTATCTGATTTAAAGGTATTCTGAGGAAAATTCTGTAAAATGCAAGGATTGGAAAAAAAAAAGATGCAAGGATTGAGCCTTCTGGAAATTAAGTACTGCATTACAGCAATACCGACGAACTCAAGGCAGTTTTATTTTATGACCGGGAGGAATGCATTTGCTTATTTGTAAGCTGATTAATTTGCAATTTCAAAAATTATCTTTCTGCATCTATATTTTTCTCTTTTTTCATTTTATTTTTATAGGTTCTACAGCCTGTTGTCATTAACACAGGAAACATTGATTGGAAACTACTCATTCAGAAAATTAAAAGGTACCACATGTTATTTTTTTGATGTGTTTAAGGACGGGGGAAGCAAGGATCCATTCTTTGAGCCATCTGCATGTTTTCATTTGAATCATTCTCTGTTTTCTTAGCTTTTTCATTTGGAGGCTAAATTTAATCATATCCTACATTATCTGATCTCATATCATTTCTACACGTTATCTAAGGCTGTTTGATTATTGAGTGAATGCAAAACCAACTGAGTTGTTTGTCTATCTGGCACATTTTTGATCTGCTGATTAGTTTTGAAGGATTGAGAAAACTGTCCATGTTCTGTCTCCTTGTTGAAAATCATAACTATTAGTTGCATGTAAAAAGAAGACTCTGATACTGTATGAATATTAATGGGTTAAATTCACTGGTTTGCCTTTCCCAGGTAGAATGAATGATAGAGAGTGAATCTGAAAGCACAAGGATGACTCAGTATGGGGTTTGCAAATAAAGCCTTCTTAACCCCTTCACTGCCACTTTAACGTCTTTGTAAGGCATCTTTGTTCAAGGATCTGGCAGTATGGGTATGGAAGGAATGTGATTCATTCGCATTTCATATGCTCTTTGCAGCATGAGAAACCAACCTTGCAGAATTGTCATAAAAACAAGGGACTCTGTTCTTTTTGTCTCTTGTTACCTAAAGCCCAAGGCAAATAATATTGGTTTCCAGTTTCTGCTTGGCTTCTAGGTGTGTAAGGTGCTTTGGAGAAAGCAGTAATATGAGGATTGTTTTTATTTTAACTCTTTAAGGCTATTTTGCATTTTCACAAGCACTCCTGATGTCTATGTTCTATCTGCTTATCAGAATGAATAGCGTTCTGCCTTGCTGAGAATCAGATCAATAATGTCATTTTCATGCTTAGCTGGCATGTTTGCTTTTTGCCCCTGAGATTTTTCTCTGGCAAAAAAAAAAAATTGATAGGTTATTGTCAGAAGCATTTTAAGTAAAGGTAGTTATTTATCTTTTTGGCTTGAAAACCCCAGTGGGAGTATTTATATATATGTATACATGTGTGTAAATAATATTTCAAGAACCTGAATACAGCTTTTATATTGAATTTGCATAATTTTCTCAGGGCTATCTAGTCATCAAACCATTCATTGGTTCATTTGGCAAGCATTTGTTGAGTGCCTACTATGTGTCTATCCCTGTCCTGAATACCATGTAGTATAGAAAATAAACAGAAGACTTAGTTCTTCTTTTGAAGAGCTCTTAAGCTCTTTGGACAAAGGTCTCTGACCTCTGGGGAATAAATAGAGAAACATAGAGAGATTTTGAAAGCCAGAAAATATTAATTAAAATATTGAACAAAATCTAGCAAACTAGTCCTGCCTTGTAACTTATGAACCATCTGATCTCTTTCTTCAAAAATTAAATCCGATTTCATCATGTCTTGGATTGGGAAAAAAAATAATAAGGGCTTATTTTTCTGCCTAAACATTTGAAGAGCAAGCAACAAAGCCATAGCCCTGCCCTGCAATTCACATTTTCATTTGGAGAAGAAAAGTTCTGTGTTTTTATAAGGCACTTCTTTTTGGTAATTTTTCCCATCTAATTAAAATCTGGAAGTGGTACAAATGCCTAAAAGGAAGCTAGGCTTTCGTGATCCCAGCCCCCCATCTTCATCTTTAATTCAGATAATCACAGTAAAAAATACTAGACTATGGAGTGCTTGAGTGAATTGCAAAGACAGCTAAATTGTCTTTTTGATGGATAATCTGGCCAACATGCCATCGATAAGAACCCATAGTGCTGAGTAGCATTGTTTCTGTGTGGTAAATACAAAAGCAGTAGAGGTGCTCAACATCATCCCTCCGTGGCCTCTGCCTCAACTTCCTTGATCCATTTTCTACTGAAATTGGTAAGAATCAATGCCTGCCTTCCTTATCCCCATGGTAATGATGAACTATGTTGCCAAGCTTTTTATAAACCACTAATGAATTATGATTTCTCAGAACTAATGGTTGCTGAATAATCAAATGATGGTTGTTTACATTGCTGGAACCTGCAAGATTCAAGGGTTCTACATCTTGGTTTTCCTAATCAATACCTTATTGGCAATAGCTAAGTTGATTGCGAATTCACCCACAGTTCACCTTAAGCACTGTGTCTGCTTTTGCGACCCTCAGAGGATTTGGGCTGGACAGCAGTTTTTAATTTTGCTTTTATTTATTTTGGTTTTTTAACATACAGTTCCAACTATTTTGCCATTAATATTCTTGGGAGAAGCTGATATTCAATGGTATCAAATGAGGCAAAAATGCCACTTCTTTTATCAGTTAAGATTAGTGAGGATTTTCTTTTTCCTTTCCTTTTAGTCAGCCAAAGGACAGAAGCCAAGCTGCAGCATGAATCTTGCTGTCTGAAAGCTCCCCAAATAGTACTTTAAGCTTTGACACTATTTACTGGTCTTCACATCTCCAGCCAAGGTTTTGCTGCAGCACAGGAGAGGAGCAGTTCTCCTCCCCCCATCCCACAACATTAACAAATAAAAATGATGTCATACTTATCAGCCTATGATAATCAATCAGCAGAGCTGTTGTAACAAGATGAATAGTGATCATTGAGAAATCCTTGAAAGTTACACCAGTAAATGTCAACCTTAAATGCTTTAGGGAGAGTTCAAATTAACATAGTTTCAGGTGTTCCTAAACACATAGACATGAAAGAATGGACATTCCAGCTTTTAAAAAATATTAGCTTTGTTTATACAGGACTTCCTTCTGATACTGCAAGGTAGTTAAAAGTGAATTCTGAATATTTGTATAATATTTGTATACACATTCAGGGAATACATTATAAACTTAACTTTAACAATATTTGGATTTCAACCTATTTTGTCCTCTTACTTGGAGAATAGCTTTATTACTTGAACAGCATGAAAATAAATGATGAATTAGCATTTAAAACAAGTACAGTAATGAAAGCAGCTTCCCCAGCCTACTACCGAATTAGTGATTACAGGTCTAATTGTGATTTGTCATGAAATTGACCGGAAAATGTAGGTATTAAATTACATATAAAATACAAATATATATTATGAAGGGTTGTTTATAGTCAAGGTGGTGATATAATGAAGGTAGAAACAAAATAAAATGAAGATCATAGTGCAACAACTGCCCCTTTCACCTTCACCTGTGCTTCTGTCCACATGGTCCTAAAGAAACACCACTGGGACAGACTCTCAAGAGCTGTCCCTATCCTGCTTTCCTTGAGAGGTAGCATGCACTGGATCACTCATACATTTAGGGCCATTATACAAAAGCATTGTGCATCTGTGTGGGATAATATTCCTGTTAGGAACTCCCTAAGTCCCTATCTGTTCACTTCCTTTCTCCAACCAGGTGTACCTACTTTTCCCAAATAGTAACTCAAAAGGTAGTAACCTGAGTTACCAAAAGGTAACTCAGAAGGCTTGCTAACAAGTACCATTTTTACTGCTGATACCTACACCTGTTACTCAGACCCCATCGCAAAAATCAAAGTTCAATATCAGAAGCCATCTAGTCTAACCTGTACATTATAGTTGAGGTCCTGTGCCTAAAGTCACACAGCCAGTGTCGAAGGTGGGATTCAAACCCACATATTCTGACTCCAAAGCCAGTACTTTTGAGATCTGTCATGGTACCATGCCTGATCTATTGTTTCCTATACTCTCCATGGGGCCTTTCTCAGTCACCTAAACTTGAATCTTAGACCCTGTTGCCTCCCTGGATTCTGGACCTCTTGCCTTTTCCATCCCCGTCTAGCCTTTTGGGATGTATCTGGCCTAACTGACTTATGTTACCTACTTCTTTAGGTTCCCTCTAATGTAGTCAAGTTTCTGATCCAAGATCCTTGTCTGGTGTTGTGGTATTTTCCTTCCTCTGGACAAAGGCAAAGCAAATCATTGAATGTATTCTTTGACATCAGTATCAATCCATCCTCTGGAAAAAAAGAAAAGCCAAATTCAAAATTATTTCCTTCTTCCTTCTATAGGTATAGTAAAAGGTAACATTGACCGCATTTTCAACTTATACCCCTTTACCCAACCAGTGTTTTGATAATACTGTGCCAATACAGAGTCTTGAATCCCAACATCTTTGTGCTGTTTGATATCATGTGATTATTTTCCCACCTCAAGTATTTGTTTCACTTCCCATCTTGAAACAGGATTATGAAAAAAAAAATTCTCACTACATTATGTCTTCTCGGGTGAATTCATTCAGTTCATAGCAGCAACCCAAGCTGGTCGGAGTGATCATTTAAAGGTGTCCACAGTAATTAACTGTTCTGTACAAGCATTTCAAGTCTCTGCCAAAAAGGAAATTATGCCTCTGGCTCTAAAAGGCCTTACATTGCTGTCCTCTGCAACATATTGACCACTAGTTGTAAGTCCACTATTTTGATTTCATAACAGATACAGTGGCTTAAACATACATTGTTAGAGTTAGAAAACTGAGAACCCCCGAGAGAAACACCCCATCCAGTATAAAAAAGTTATTTGTCATAATAAAACAAGTTAATTCATTCATTGAATACAAAGAAACCAAGTAATATCTGGTAAAGGTAAGGAAAATAGCTTCTGATTACAAAATAGTAGGTTTGTCTCAGCTTAAAATAAGATAACATCATTGGCTGTTTCTGGCCTGTCTAGTCTCAGGGGTTTTCAGTAGATAAAGCCTCAGTATTTAGATAGTATTTTCACATTCTTCTGCTACTAAGTTTTAAGGAGCCAGAATTCACCCAGTAATTTCTTTATTAGTTCTCATGGTAGCTGGTCTTTTCTTGGCCTCCTTGAAAGAGTGTTCCTCTGGACAAGTGTGAATTGCTCTGGATTTCCAGATGCTACTTTCTGATTTTTTGAGGGGGCTCTGGACCTATGATTCATCTATTTATGGAACTTTCTATGTGGAAACTCCTTGCACTTATCCAGATGGGCCATTCATCTGTAAAACTTAAAAAATTAGAGAAAATGGCCTAAAGAAGTAAAAAGTACAGATAGGAGTGAAGACTT